GCAAGGGAGAGATGACAGGGAGAACAGACAAATGGCTTCAAAGCAAATATGCTTTGAGGGGCAGCAAGGAAATAAAACTAAATACTGCAGTCCATGAAGGGAGAAATGGAGACAGGGGAGGACTTTCCTCCCCTCTGGGAAGCACCTGCATAGCACAGTTTAGTTTTCCTTTTCTTCCTGCAAAGGCAGGAATTGATTTGTCCTTCCCTGCTCTTTACCTCCAACCCATGGGCTCACACTGAACACGGAGACCAGAGAGCTCTCCATGCCTGTACATAGACAGGCTTCCTGTGGAGACATCCAGTCCATTTGTGCTATTTGTTATTCACACAGGTATAAAAATGTACCAGGGATCCCTTGCACTGGAGATCTGAAAGCACCTTGAAAGCAGTCTTGCAAATCCCTCCCCCATGATCATTCGCCCTGTTGTGCAGAGTGGGAAATGGAAGTTCAGAAGAGTTGACCCTTAAGCCCACACAGCCAGAAAGGATCAGGACAGGAGTAGCACTCCCAGGCCCTGCAGGAAATGGCTGTTTGGGTATCACAGAACCCCCCGTCTTTCCATTTGGCAGAGCAAAGCACCAAAACACAGAGGCTCCTCTGAAACTGCCCGTCATCCTCGGGTGCTCTTGGTACCCGCGAGCCATAAGAAGGGAAGCCTGGCCTTGCAGTTCAGGCACTCGATAGGTCTGAGGGATCTGAGTTCAGTTCCTGGCTCTGTGACGGACTTGGTACGTGACCTTGGGCAAGTCACTTAGGTTCAGGGTCTCAAAGGACCCTGAGCTGTCTAAGTCTCCTTGGAATTTGGTCCCTCCGTATTGTTGAGGCTGGCGGTCCCAGTTAGTCTGACCCCTAGGTATTTGGGCCTTGTGAAACAGGACTAGCTAACCCCTGTTTCCGTCACCCTTTGTTCGGCTTTTCCATTTAATTTCTTCAGGGCAGGCACTCTGTTCAGGTCCTTGCATGGTGAGCCCTGGGGCTCTCATCACCTCCCATCACACAGATTAATACCAGCCCCTCTCCTTGTACTGTGCTGAGTTCAGCGACACAGGGAAAGGAGCAGTGAGATTGTCAGGGACCTTGTAACAAGTCCCACATATGGGCCATTATTCCACCTCAACTGGTTTTGTTAACAGGCCCTCAAAATCCTGTTAAGGGTGTCTAGCCAGATGCAAACACAGCTACCTGCCTTCGAGCTCTCTCCCATTTAATAGCCAGCTTGCCCTGCTGCTCAGACACACACACCAATACCCGGGGGGGCCAGGAGCATCCCTGGTGTAGGATGAATTCTTCATTGAAATCAGTAGGGCTACCTTATGCCAGCACTAAGTTGGCCCTCGCCCCTGATCCCTCTGCCCCATGGCAATGCTGTAATCCCCCCGTGCTCAGTACAGTACCATGCTGTTATCCTGGGGACCCCTTGGTCCTTTAACATGAGTTTCCACCCTATCTTGCACACCCAGCCCTGTTTGCATGACAAAGCACCAGCTTTCCGGCCAGGCCCTTCATTGTGTCCCCCAGTGCAGCTTTGACATGTAATGCATTGGTAATGAAGTCCGACTGATACCAGAGCAGCTTGGAGCCTGTGCAGCCTCCATCCCCCCACATCCCAAAAGACTGTCACAGCCCAACCAGCAGAAACAAAAGAGCAAGCGCAGGCTTTGAGGCACGGAGATAATTTGCTGGGAGGTGGCAGGGCCAGGGCAAAGGCTTGTGCCTTTTCTTTATTTTAGTCCTTGTCAGTTGGTGAGTGACAGAGCAAATCACATTTTAATTTAATCATGTTTAACCCCCCAAATCAGACAAGGCCAGGGGTTTGGAAGGGAGAGGATTGACATCTGCAGCTCCCTGAGAGGTTAATGACTTGGGATGGGGTTAGCACAATGGCAAGGCTGTGGCCACAGTGCTCAGCCTGACTTCCTGACCCTGCACAAGTCACCTGGACACCTTGCAGACAGACAGGCGAGCTTGGTCAGACACACTGCACACTCACCATCGTGGCCACTCAGGCACCACGTGTGACATTTGCAATCTTCATATAAAGCACCCTTCACGCTCAGTCAGTGTCAGACTGACACAGATAAAGATGTATCACCTCCAAGGACAAAGCACGTACACCAAGGTACTTTCAGGCACCAGGCACTATACGCACGGGCAGATAGCAACACGTCACACATGCATGCCAAACATACGTGTTATACAGTCACAAGTGCCATATTCAACAGCACAAACTCATTACTCACACACACAACACCAGTGCCAGGCATTCACACACACACGAAATCCACACATGCTCACTGTACATATGCAGTTCCTGTGAGAGACTCTCTCTGTCTCTCATCATTGCACACTTCTGCCCAGACCTGTACAGTCACATGCACCTTTTCCATACACTTCCAAATGAGAGGAGATGGGAACCAAGGGCTTTTTTTTTTCTTTGCTCCAAGTTTTCTGCAGACTGACAGTTTGCTGGGCTCTTCAGTTTATGCTAATGCTGCTCAGTGAATGCCAACTCCTCCATGCTTTTCAAATGTTAGCTTTTAAGTGAAAAGGAAAAAAAAAACCCAAGTCTTTCAGGGGTGCGTAGGAGGGAAGAGAATCATTGAAACGCCTCTTCCAGAGAGACTGGGAAGTCCTGAAACAAGTTGCTTAAGATAAAAGTGGCCTTTAATTCTTGTGGGGGTCCATTTAGGAGACCCAATTTGAGAGGCATTGGGCCCGATTTTGAGCTCGGAGCTTACTCAGACTTGTAGGCTCTCTCAAAATCAGGCCAACAGGAACTCCAATTATGAAGGCCTTCCAGATCAGAAGCCATTTGTAGAACAATTCAGACTAAATACCTGCATTGGATACCCTGCCTGGACTTTGGAGGAAATGATTCCCGCCCCCTTCAATATTAAAGAGGCTCCTTTTATTGATACATAGGAGGCAAGTTAAAACAAAGGGCACCATAGTAATATTAACAACAACCCTGCTAATGTATATAGGCGCGTTTTTATTTGAAGATAGACCTGAGGGGGAAGCTTCTTTGTTTCAGCCTGTCTTCTGCTGGTAGAATAGTACCTGTGGTGTTTGAGTACTCTGTTTCTATTAATGTTGAGGTATCAACATTTCTTAGGCAGCTTTGAAAAATCTCAGCAGCCTGCATACATAGCTAGAACAGCTCCTTTTCCTTTTGTTTGTACTGTCTGCAGGAAAGTCTTGCCTTGCTTGGGCAATAGCTATTTGGAAGCTTTTCCTCTGTGATGCTGCCTTTTTTTTTTTTTTTTTTTTTTTTTTAGGGATCTGTACACACAGGCATAGGCCAGATAAGTGCACACACCTACGTAATCGAGTTTCCGCACTAATTTGGCTGTGGGGAGCAGCATTTCTTCTCCCTCCACTCACTTTATCCCTCTTATTTAGTGGACTGAATACATCCAAAGCCACTGATTGCTTTGACATACCAGGCAAGAAAAACCCCACATTCACACCTTGCTTCCTACTTACTTCCCCCTTTAATCCCTAAATCCAGTTTTGGGGATTGAGTGAATATCCTAAATTCTTGGTCCTCTACCTTAGGTTAACCTGGGATCCTTGCAGCATGTTAATAAAACAGTTAAAAGTTAATTGGACTCCCTCTCTCTTCATGTAATTACCCTTTTGCAGGGCTGGGGTGCAGAACACCATCTCCAAGCACAGGGCACCTGAGTAGCAGCAGCTGGGAAGTTACTCAAAGAACAATAGAAATTGTTGTTAAGGGGCCAGGATAACGGACACGCAAGGGAAGGTCAGAAAAGTTGCATCTGGCTTGGGTACCTGCAATGATGACCTAACTTGGAGGGTGAAGAATCTAATCAGGAGGGGATGAGAAACAATTAAGAACAGGAAAATGTAGGACATGCTTTTTGAGAGCAAGATGTATGAGATGGTAGAATAGCTGCCTCCAGGACATGGTGGAAGCTCCATTGCTTGAGGCATTTAAGAGTGGACTGGAAAATAGTGGTGGCAACTGATGAATTAAATGAACAGCCAAGATCCAAACCTCAAAGTGGCCTATGGCTAACAGCCCTACCTAGCAATCTAGAAGGGAACCCCCTCCCTATAGGGAAAAAAGTTACATTATATAAAATATATATCAAAACCAATTGACAGCAGTCCACAACCCACAGCCCTGCTAAGCCTCTCCGTCCTAGCCAAGTGGCTGGGACCAGGATGGTCTTGCCTTGGCTAGGAGCCTGTCTCTTGAGAAGACTGTTGCTAAAGCACTACTCCTAGTCATCCTCCATCATGCACGCCAGCATGGCTGTATTATTCTAAGCTCTACTTCTCCCATCTGGATCAAGCCCATCAGCTCTGTTGTGAGTTTGTTTTTTTTCCCTCCCAGCCTCCCCAGACAAGTTTACTCTCCAAAAATGAAAGACCCACCCTGACAAAGTAACTGAAGGCCCCATGCCAGCAGCCAATAATCCCCTTCTTCCTGCAAGCCACAGAGCCAATCCCACCTCCCTGCAGAAAGGCAATCCTCTACCCCCCCCCCCCCATCTTTTTCTTCAAGCCTTTACTGAGAACTGTTTTATACCTTCCACAGGGGATCCACCCTAATCAGCAGATCCGTCTCACCTGGGCTGGGCCTTCCCTCTAAACTGCTATTAGCTATTTAGCGTCTTCAAGCATCAGACAGCATCTGCTGAAATAAGCCCACTGCTTATGAAAGCTTGGGCTATGAATCCCTGATTTAGTTAAGTCGATAAGGTGCACATCTACCCTGCCTCCTGCTTGAGTTCAGACTAACATTACCTCTCTTGACTTCTCCAAGCCCTTACAGGGGCAGCCCTTGTCACAAGCTGCCTTTTGCTATCCCAGACAGAGAATTAGTGCTTTCCCACTTTCCCAGGCAAAATATATATCACTTGCAATCCTTAACTCTCTCTCACTGCGCTGCCTTGTGCAACAGTGTTATATGGTCTTCCCCCAACCTTAGTTTTCCCCCTGCAGGTATCCCATGCAAAACCTGCATGCTTACAGGAAGTGCATTCAGGTGGCAGGGCTCTGGGACTGAAGCACAGCCAGATGAAGGAAGACGGCAGTGGTAACACCCAAGGCAGAGGGAATATAAAAGCTTTGAGTTCTTTTGCAAGCAGTGGGAAGCAGAATTGCTTCCGATTGTTCACCCTGCTGGAATGACTCAGCCACCAAGCAATTTTCCTTCATTCTGTTCTTCCCATGGAAGCTGAATTTAGTTCATTTTGATTATGCTCTAATTTCTGCCTACTAGCAACCTGTCCCTACCCCCCTTCTTCCCACCCAACCCTTTAATTATCTAGATGGAAGGTACATCTTCATTATACCCCCGCCATTGGAAGCCCAGCTCCGTGGAGGCTCTGAAGAGCTGCTTTTCTAGCAAAGGGAATTAGTATACAGCTCTGCATACCTCTGAACCATAATAATAATGCTTGGTGCATATGTAATGCCTCTCATCTTCTTAAGTGCTGCATAGACATTAAATGTAATTAAGCCTCACAACATCCCTTTGAGGCAGGTTAAGAGGGGCGTGGAAAATTGGAGGGAGATCAGGGAGCAAGAGGCTGACTTAGATGGAAAGATTAAAAGAGCTGAATGTGTCTCCCTGGACTCAGCATGGCTGACAGGAGGGGGTGGTAGCCATTAGCGGTGGTCAGGTGCTGTGTGTGCCAAGTTCCCACGAACACGCTCCATTTCCAAAAGCAGGTCAGCTTGACCACGATCATTCACCTTAAGCTGTCAGTGAGAGGCAACACTTCAGTGATCAAAGCAGACTTTGCAGGTGAGACAAGAAGAGAAGTGGAGGAAAAAAAGACTATCATGCAATGGGGGTGAAGGGGCAGGCTTCCCTGTGTTGCTGCTTCTCCCTGTTCGTGGTGGGTGGGAGCATGATGTAGTCTGTTAGCTCTATGGCAGGGAAGGACTGGGACACCATGAGCGTGCTCCCTGCCAAACTGCTTGCAGCCGTGACCTGGAGAAGAAGGGTCAGATGGGCCTCGACCTCTTTGTGGAGCTTGCTACTTAATGCCAGGGGTGAGTGTTTTCATGATGCAAACACTCATCCAGTCACTTAGATACACAGATGTTAAGACTTTCAGGGACCATTTAGATCATCTAAGCTGAGTCGAGCTTAACACTGGCCAGGGAATCCCACCTTGAAGTGTCCAGGCTCTGCTGAGTAGTAGTCATGAAACCGCAACACCCCTCAGCTGCTTTGTGCAATCGTCTTCTCTTTTCCTCTTGCCTCCCCCAGGTTCACAGCTTCCAGGGACAGCGAGATCTTTGCTATGACTGCAGCACAACGTCTCTCCACCCATAGCCAGGACATCTCCCTAGAAGAAACACCTGGGGTCTCCTCTCTGCACTACATGCCCTCAGCTCAGGGACGTCATGGGGAGTGTCAGTAGCCTCATCTCTGGCCACAGCTTCCACAGCAAGCACTGCCGGGCTTCCCAGTACAAGCTCCGCAAGTCCTCCCACCTGAAGAAGCTGAACAGGTACTCAGACGGGCTTCTGCGGTTCGGCTTCTCCCAGGACTCCGGCCACAACAAGTCCAGCTCCAAAGGCAACAAGAATGAGGACTTCTTTTACATCAAGGTCAGCCAGAAAGCCCACGCCACCCACCGGACGGACTATACCTCATTGTCCAGCGGGGACCAGGCCGGGGCGACTGGTATGGACTATGGCAGCCACACGCCACAGAAACTGATGCCATTTTCCAATCAGCTAGAACTGGTTAGTAACCCTGAGACCGCTCCCACCCTGGCTAAGGTCTGGTCTGTCCCGGGGACTCACCCTAATTGCAGCTACTGTGGCAGGCTCCTGGTGCAGACAAGATGCAACTGAGACTGGCACCAATGGACCAGCCCTTGTCTGAGTCTGGAGCGACCAGGGGCGAGACTTGTCCGGAGAACAGCTAAAGCAATGCACCTTGTGGGACAAATGGGTTGTGGGGCTTCAGGTTCCCAGCTATAAGCATCAGGAAAACGGGAAATAGGGGTAAATAGAGTCAGAGGTGCTCAGGCGGTGGCTGTTGTGGCAATGAAGAGTCCTGAAGGTACAGACAGAAATAAACAGGAGGGTGTGGGAAGCTTTTTCAGAAGGCAGCAGCCACTGGTTAAACAAGAAGCATGTTCTGATTCTGTAAGGAAGCTGAGAGCATCTGTAAAAGCTCTTGCAGCTAGAGCCAGAAACTGGATTGCTAGCAACTCCTCGCTTATATTTGTGACGAGGCTGCAATTTGCAAACAGTTTCATTCCTCTGCCCTGAAACACTTCCATGAATGTGCGTGTGCGCTCCAGCAACTTAGCAGCTTATGCAGTTTCAGGGATATTCATTGTGGGGGCTTTCAGGGGCTGGAAGAAACTAAAGGATCCCTGCTGGGACACAGGCCAGGGGGGAACAGTATCCTGTATGAAACAGCAGCACACTTTTGGCTTGGGAACAGGATCCCATTATGCTTTAGGGATCAAAATAATTAGAGGATAGGCCCAGCCCAACAGGACATGTGCTACCTGCCACCTCATCCAAGCAGACAGTATTGTCGAAAAGAGTGTCTCCACACTTTCCAGACTGAGACCCTGTGCTGGAAGAGAGAAATAGGAAGGGAATCCCAGAGCTATCTCATCATAAAGGGCAGGCCCATCTCCCAGGTTAAGACTTCAGGACCTAGTGAGGACACAAGGGCACTGGGAGTCACAGCCTTGCTCTCGTGTTCTTATTTGCACCAACACAAAATATGTACAAGATGTAGGCACCCACCTGCCCTGATGTTCATAGCTGCATAAGGTGCAGGGCAGTAGGGAATCAGGCCTTCAAAGTCCATTTCTACATTTGGGAGGAAAGCATGGTGGAGTGGTAGAAATGTCAGAGCCAGGACTCCCACTATCTGGGACTTTTCTACCCTGCCACTGACTCGTTCTGTGCTGTCAGATGAGTTTCTTAACCTCTTGGTGCTCTGGGTTCACCCTATCAAAGAACTGGAACCACCCACCCTATCCTTTCCCATGGAGAGTACTGTTAAGATCGCTCCCCTAGAGTCCAATTACTGTTAACGAGCTGGCTAAATCATGCTTTGCAGTTACTGGATTTGGAGCATGCTCACCCTGCACGTTTCCAGAGCTCGGGCCACGGCTGGGAATGGCGGGAGAAGAGCTAGGAGAGTGAAGTAGATAGTGTGGCTGAGCTGCCAGGCCTCACTGCTGTTTCAGGAGGCAGCAAGGGAGGGGAGTTGAAGCTCACTCTGGAGTTTTCCTCAGCTTTGGGATTCCAGACAGCTGACTACGATATGTATGGACATCCCTTTCACCCTTTACCCTTCCCCCTTTCTCCCTGAAGAGACAGCTGCACAATCTGTCAACTAACAGGGTGCAGCTATGCTCTGAATTATAGACCTCCCAGGTACTGAGGACCCCATAGCTGCCATTAGAAAGCCTGAAGGCTTCTAAGGAGAAGGAGTAGAGTGACCTATGGCCTTAATAATGTACTAACAAGATCTTTGCTTCTCTCCAGGGTGCAGAGAAGAGTGCTTCCAGGCCCACCGCCTTCAAGCCAGTGATCCCCCGGTCAGGTGCCATCCTCCATTCCTCTCCAGAAAATGGCAGTCACATTTCTCAACAGCTGCATCCTCCAGAAAAAACCAAGGACCAAGAACTCAAGCCCACGTTGTGCTCTGGAGCTTTGTCTGACTCTGGAAGAAACTCTATGTCCAGCCTCCCGACCCATAGTACCAGCAGCAGTTACCAGCTGGATCCCCTGGTCACCCCCGTTGGGCCCATCAGCCGCTTTGGAGGCTCAGCCCACAACATCACCCAGTGCTCCATCATCCAAGATAGTAACATGATGAGCCTCAAGGCCATGTCCTTCTCAGACAGTGGCAACAAGATCATCAACCCCGGGAAAGCTGCTCACCACGCCTCTGAGAAAACCTCCTGCATCCGGTCCCCTATCTCCACCGACGAGTCCACCATCCAAGAGCTGGAGCAGAAGCTGCTGGAGAGGGAAGGGGAGCTTCAGGAGCTCCAGTCCAGCTTTGAAGAGAAAGAAGTCACCTCCTGCCAGGTCTATGAAGAGAAGCAGAGGCGCTGCAAGGAGGAGATGGACGGGCTGAAACAGAAGTGCAACAGCAAGCTCAAGCAGACCAACCAGAAGACTCAGCGGACGCAGCAGGTCCTGCACCTCCAGGTGTTTCAGCTGCAGCAGGAGAAGCAGCAGCTCCGTGATGAGCTGGAAAAGCTCATGAAAGAGCAAAACTTGCTGGAGACCAAGCTGAGATCCTGTGAGAAGGAGAAGACCAACTTTGCCCCAGCGCTGGAAGAAACTCAGTGGGAGGTAAGGCACTGCCCTGTCTGAAACACCAGAACCAGAGTAGTCGGGGGGGGGGTCCCAGTTGCTGTGACTGCAGAAAAGTGTGCGCGCCCATGGAAGTCAATGACTGCATCCCCAAAATGGACAGGTGTACATACAAAGCTGGTAACTAGGTATGTGAAGACAAGTTTGTGTAAATACCTTCTTGCCTGCACAGGTACCCTTTTGCATCTACAGATGCACTATGTCTAATCTCCTTTATTTCACTTCTCTGTTGCATTTATAAAGCATCCAGAACTCTAGTAGGCAGGCAACTGAGGCCCTATCAATGCCCAGTGAAGTGAGTGGAGAGATTTCCATTGTCTTCAAGAGGCTTGAGATCAGAACCATTAATGCAACGTGCTTCACTCTTTTCTATCTCCTGGTCTTTGCTTTTCCTGTACAAATACACTATGCTGACCAGTGAAGTGTTTCAGCCGTCTTTGACTGCAGTTAGCTCACACATGCTTGCATGTGGGTGCTTGTAAGCACAGATTGCAGAGAATATGTCTGCTTAAGCCAGAGAAACCATTTGCCTGTCAGATGGTAGTTCTCTGACTCGTTGATTTATGTGTCCCACTTCCCCCCCTGCTCAGCACTGCACAGCAAAAAATACTGTTTGAAAAAAATGGGTCAGTAAAATAACTCAGTTGTTCAAATATCCAATCACACAAATCTTCACGCTGCGGACTGCCCCCGCAGGAACAGTAAAGCTGCTCTACTTACATAAATAACAACTACCTGGGGTTATCTTGGTCATTCATCAAAGAGGATTAAAACCTTCCCAATCCCGGCTGAAGTTTTATGTAATTTTCTTATTGATTGGGCACTGTTAAAACTAGACACTTATACTGCTGAAAACTCAAGGGCAACATTCCCTTCCTAGCAGTCTGAATAAAAAACACCAACAGATATTCATCCCTGCCACACAGACAGAAGCATTACTATTTGGGGTCTAATCTGTTCATGAGGCAGCAGCACCTAGTATAAATTGATTTTAACTCTTTGTCATATGTGAGTTTTCATTTTAAGTATTTCTATAGATTTGTGTCTAAACTGATAATGGCAGCACCACACTCCTGAAGGGCCAGGTGTTCAGAATAGCTTAGTGCTTCAGATGGCTTGGTGGTATTTGGATCTGGACATTTTGGCTGCGAGCATAACAGCAGGAGCTGCTGGAAATGGGGCCCTTGATGCACTGTGGGTACAGAGCCCTTGAAAATGCATCCTCGAGGGAAGAGATTTTCCAAAGCTGTTGAGGGATTTGGGAGTTCAAGTCGCACTGTCACTGGGGTTTAGCTGCCCAAGTCCTACAGCTGTGCTTTGGGCGGTGGGCAAGACCCATTCATGTCAAGACCTGGCATAACTACCAGATAGGCTCCACTCACAAGTCTGTGTTAATGGATATGAATCTTGCCTTTTCTATACATAGTTCTTTGCACCTGAATTATGTGCAACATTCAGGGGTGGCACACGAGTGTAAAACTTATTTTGGCACCAGGGCCAAAGCAGATTTCTCAGCCGGGACCACTGGGTTCTCTCCCCAGTTTTGCCACTGGCTGTACTGGTAAGGAGGAAACTAAATGACACTGTGATTTACTATTGTTTTGGCCTCTTCTGTCGAGGGTTCATGGTTTCTAGGCAGTAGCCTTAACTGTAGGTGCTGTTTTCCCCCCCTCAGGTCTGTCAGAAGTCTGGTGAAATCTCCCTCCTGAAGCAGCAGTTGAAAGAGTCTCAGACAGACCTCAATGCCAAGACCAGTGAGATCCTGAGTCTGAAAGCCCAGCTGAAGGATGTGAGAGGGAAAATGGATGGGGTGGAGATGAAAACCCAGAATATGGAGGATTCTTTGCACACAAAGACCATGGAGCTGGAGGTGTGCGAGAACGAGCTCCAGCGCAAGAAGAATGAGTCAGAGCTGCTAAGGGAGAAGGTGAACCTACTGGAACAGGAGATTGTGGACCTCCGGACGGAGCTGACCATCCTCAAGGAGCAGTGGAACGAAGGGAGGGATGGGGCAGCCCCTGTCAACCCAGCCAGCGGGAAAATGGAGGATGTCCAAGCCCTTCAGGGGGACTTGGAGAGGCTGAAGGCAGAGCTCAAGGCAGAGCGAGACAACAATGAGCAGATGACCTCAAGTTTCCAGCATGAGCGGCAGGTCTGGAAGGAGGAGAAGGAGAAGGTGATCCAGTACCAGAAGCAGCTGCAACAGAGCTACCTGCACATGTACAAGAGGAACCAGAACCTGGAGAAGATGCTCCAGCAGCTGGCCGCAGGGGAGGATGGCAAAGAGCCCATCGACCTGGACATCCACGGCACTGACGTCCCCTATGAAGACATCATTGCCACCGAGATCTGAGGAGGCCTGCTCCCTGTCCCTCCACACCTGGGCAGTGGGGAGGGAGGCCTCTCTTAGGTGAGGACAGAGGAGTACATCCTGGCAGCTCAATCCATGCCAGGTGGCCCGTGTAAAGTTCGGATGAGCTGTGTGTGTATTAGCCGAGCCGGCTGCCCAGCCAGCTCGTGAGCCCCCAGTGTTGCACCAGGACGGTGCCCCAGCTGCCTGTCGTGTTGCAGAGGTGAAAAAGCCGTGTGTGCCAATGGTGACGTGCCCATCATCTGCTCCTCGTGTCTGATGCATCCTTTGCAAGGTGCTTGCTGCCCTTGCTCATAGGACTGAGAAGCGGGAAAGGGGTGGGGGGTGGGTGGGAGGGGAACAGGACTTTAGCAAACAACTCTTCTATCAGGGAATTATATGACACTGGCCAAAAATTCCCAGGAGTCCAGAGGGACCACTGGGTCAGTGACTTGAAGGAAACCAGCCTCCTTTCAGCAAATAATACGCACACTGGTCCAGTCCCTGGAACAGGGAGACTAGGGACACCGCCACTCTTCCTCCTGTGCACTACAGGAAACGATTAACACCCCATTTTAGCCACTGAACCCTGGCCCAAGGCCTGGGGAACATGCAAAGCTGCTCTAAAACATTCATCTTCCTCCAGTTGATTCTGGTTTCTCAGATCTGTAAGCTTTTATTCCACCAGAGACCTGTGGAAGCCTTCCAGGCTCCAGTTGCTAAGGGCTGAGTGGGTCTTTACCATGCTGGTGACTTGGATTCAAATCTTGCCGAGCTTTCTTTTTCATTCGATTAACACAGAGTGCCTCAAGAATGACCAGCCTTCAGCTAGTTCAGGCCCCAGGATAAGCTGGCTTGACATGAGCCCATCCATCCACTTGGCTGGTGTGCTAATGGTTGGCATGTGCAGGTGAGGGAAGAGGGATTAGAGGATCCCGTCTGGTTTCTGGGAGGCAAACGGATGAGGATTGATACCAGGTGCAACAGAAAACAAGTTCCAAGAGCCACCAGGAAAAGTCAACTGCTCTGAAGGGCGCATCTGGGCTCACGAGCTCCCCTTGCCCAGACCACTTCAGAGCAATGAAATCCAGGCTCCTGCAGCCAGTCAGGATAAAGGACAGAAGCTGCACCAAAAAAGGCTGAAAAATTCAAAAGAATTTTGAAAAGGAAACCCTAAGGTGCTTTGCAAACACTTTTACTGAAAACTGTTCGGTATCCAAAAAGCTAAGCTGAAAACAATTGCCAGGGTTTGGCTTTTGAGGCCTTGTCCCCAGTTCCTAACCCGGCATCCATTCTTTCCACCAAAATCCATCTTCTCCAGATTAGCTAACCATTTCCCACGTAGCGCCTTATTAAATGCTGAACGCCACAGGTATTAGGTTGACTACGCTTCTCTGTTTAGAAAACTGGTTATCTTATCAAAAACTCGCATTGCGGTTTGCCCCATTTTCCATTTACCTCCATGTCCCATCATTAATCTTCCCGTCTGATCTGCAACTCCTTATGCTATTCCCATCGTGAGGAAACCTAGCGAACTCTCAATTCCTGGTGATCCTACCCATCTTCAGCTCTGGACAAAACGGATCCACTGTGCCGCACCTCTGCCCAGCCTCTGCCGTGCCAGCGCTGAGCTTCCAACCTAGCTCAGTTTTGAGCCGTGCCACCCTTTTCTTTTCTAGCCCTGGTTCTTGGGAAGAGTAAACTGCACCAAGCCTGTGAATTGGTGGCAGCAAATGATTTGACAGAGTTCTGGGAAACTCACTGCCCTTGTGATCTGATGAAGATTCGAAGCTCGGGGACTTGATTCTTGCTTTCTGTGCAGCCATTTATATAAAGTGCCAAGTGGGCGTGAGATGCTGTCAGATTGGAACAGTAGCATTTTACACCCACTTTCTCCTGGCATAAATCACCGCAGATGGCTGCGATGCTGAATCAGGCCCCAGATTTACAAAGGGGAAGGCTATTGCACTATCGTCCTCCCTGCTGTACCTGCCAGCCAGGTAGCTGAGTGTAGGGACATCTCTATCACATAAAGAACAAGCATTTATCTGAATTTCCAAACCGCACTCCTCCCTGGAGAAACACTGCAGAAGCCACTGGTGTTAGTTACTCCAAGGGAGGATTCGGCCCAACATGCATCATACCCAGCTCGGAGGCAATTTCTCTCTTCTTTGTGACTGAATCCCCCACACTTTCTCGCCTATCAAATGCTGGCTGCCTTATTATTCTCCTCTGTGCCATTAAGTCAGTGGGTTCCAGGCACAGCAGTTGACAGGAGCTGGTAAAAGAAAATGATCTCATTTTGTTTTCTAGCCACCGTCTTAAATCTTCCTCCTGCCTGTAATGGGAAAACTCCAGCATAGAAATGAGCTCCAGGGAGCTCGGCACCTGCTAAATGCTGCTCCAAGCCCATGTGGCTGCACTGTCCAGTTTTACCCCCAGAGAGGTGCGAACAGGGTCAGCCTCCAATGGGCCAGGAGGTGAGAAATCGGGTTCTCATCCACAAGCCTTTGTCATGCTCAGGGGCCTCCTCCCTTTTGGCCTGAAACGAACCTAAGGAAAAAGAAAAAAATTCTATCTCCACAGCC